GCCCCCTCTAGGACGGCCTCAGCGGCCTCCTTTCCCTCCCTCCCTCTCTGACAAAGGCAGACATGCTCCGACTGGCGCGCTTCGCCTCCGGGCATGGCGGAGTTCCTTCCCTTTCCTCGTCATTGCGATCGGCGCGCGTCCCTCACCGGCCGACTGAGGTGTCACGCGCCGCTTTCTCCTCGCTTGGTCGCGGCGTCGGGGTCTTCCTGCAGCATGACCGCGCTGACAACGCCCCCCCGTCCCCGGCCGCCGGCAAGGTGGCCTTCCCTTCGTGGTCCGGCTTCCGTGCCTTTGCCTCGTCGTCGGCCACGGCGCCCTCCGGTCCGCGTGGGGCCCAGCCCTCCATCCCCCGGAACACCCTCTTCCAGAGCTACCCCTCCCTGCCCTTGTACCTCGACTCCATTGGTGACACCATTTCCGATGGGTACCGTCCCCTTTCCTTCCCCCCCCCCTCTCTCTCCCCCTTCCTGTTCTTCTGTCATATCCTCATCCGGTCACTCCTCTGGTCTTGTCGCTTCGTGCACATTCATTCTAACCACCCCCCCTCTCTCTCTCTCCCCCCCTCACCCAGGCTTCCCTTTACTCCGCGGATCATCTTGCCAGCCGATGACAACGAGCGTGGGACTCGGATCTACACCGACCTCCTGTCGCGTTTTCAGGCCTATCGTCAGTCCGGCAGTCAAGATGCCATCCTCCGTGTTCCGAGCGGGGAACTCCCCGCGCAGGCGACCTTCGACCAATCCACTCTCGAGGGGGGCCTCCCTGCAGCAAACTCCCTGCAGGAGGCCATGCTTTACGCCACGGTGAATGAGCTTCGCGCGCATGTCGCGGCCGAGCACCAGCTCCGCGCCGGGAACCGGGACCTGGCTGCTTCAGCCATTGACCTGGACACCTTCGACATGGAGTATGCCCAGGTGGTTGGCAGTCCGAAGCCGCACTCGCCGGGTGAGCTTCCTCGCGCCGGGGCCGAGGGCGATCGCGCCTACCCTGCTGTGGTGACCAAGTCCTTCCTGCTGGCGCGCGACCTGCGCAACTATCTGCGCCTCTTCGGCCAGACGCGTGCGTCGACTGCTTCCATTTAGGCCCTGCCTCTGCCCCCTCTCCCCCCCCCCCCCCGTGAATCGGCAACTTTCCCTCATTGACACGCATTGCCGCGCACCTTTCCCCTGCCCTCTTCGCATCGAAATGCGCGCGCGCACACACACACACAGTGGACAACCACTCCTTGCGCGTTCTGATCAACTCGGCCATGGACACCAATGTCCAGATTTGGCCCTCAACCTTTGACTACCTGTTCTTCATCTTCCAGCGGCGATCCAGCGCGTCCGATTGCCTGCGCCTTATTGAGCAGCTGGTGTGTCTCTCTCTCTCTCTCTCTCCCCTTGCCATGAAGACCCCTCGCCCACACTCATTACTGACATTCGACTGTCCCCTCCCTCCGGTCTTTGGGCATCAGGTCGCTCACAACCTCCCTCTCAAGCGCTCCTTCTTCCTGGCCACCTACTCGTCGCTCTTGCAGTCCGGCACGGTGGTCGACCTGTCGAATGTCATCTCCTTCTACCTGTCTTATCGCCACCATCCGGAATTCCCCATCACGTCGGACATCCTGCAGCATTTGCTGCTGTTCCACGCCACCCAAACCGGCGCCCACATCAACCTCATCAAGAAGGAACTCAATCCCGGCGATCTGGCCAAGATTGTGGAGGGCAGTTCGACGTTTGGCAATGACCATATGAGCCTGCCCGCTGAGCTGACCGACGCCGCGACCTTGGCCAAAACATCCAAGGCCTCGCTGGACTTCCTGTCTTGCATCTTCGAGGACTTTGGCAAGGTTGAGGCCTCCATCCCCCGGTTGGCTTTCGAGCGTCTGCTCTTTGAGCTGTGCGTCCTGCGAGACACCCGATCCGCCTTCCGGGTGTACCGGCGTCTGCTTCGTCACCACCCCTCCCTGCCGGAGACCTTCCTCCCGCTGGAGTGGATCATCTCCTCTTCGAACGAGTGGCCGCTGGAGGTACGCCCCATCCGGTGCCGGGTTGCCCTTTCCGTGTGCCCCCTTCCGACGCCTTTTCTCTCTCTCGCCCTTCCTCTTTTGTCACCATTTCCCCACATGTTCATACACTCCCCTGGGCACGCGCACACGCTTACACACATGCACACATGCACACGCACACGCACACGCACACGCACACGCACACGCACATATGCATATACATATGCACAGAATCTGGACTTCCTCATTCAGGAGTCCGCCTCGCGTGGTGTCGGGAATATTCTCTTCCCCCTTCAGATCCGCATGTTCACCATGCTCTCGCGCGGAGACCTCGACGGAGTGGTGGCCACGGTCAGCTTCCTGAAGCTCATGAACATGACCCCCACCACGGGCACCTTTACCAAACTCCTGACGGCTTGCGTCGAGCAGAACCGCTTCGAATACTTGACCCCCCTGCTGGAGCTCTCGGATTTCCCCATCTTCCTGGCGCAGTACCTGGCCAAGGCCACGTACTTCCACCGGTCGAAGTTCACCCTGACGCAGATCCTGGAAACGGCGCGCATTTCCTACGAGGTGTCCCGGAGTCAGATGAGCCGGCACACTGGCATGCCGCCCAGCCCGCGGATGGTTCCCTTCGTGCCACAGGTGAAGCTCCCCCGGAGCCTGCGCGACCCGCACGCCATCACCGACACGCCCTTCTTCAACTCCCTGGCGGCCAGCATCCGGCGTCACTTCCCCAATGGTCTGCCCCCACAGCGGCAGGTGTTCAACTCGGCCATCTTCCATGATAATGCCCGTCGGGCGGAGAGTGTCACCATTTCGAGCAAGATCTTCCCCTACTGGCCTCTGCTGGCGCTGGCGCACGCGAGCGCCGCTGCCGGGCATCCCCTGTCGGCGGCCATCAGATTGGTGGAGCTCTTCCGCTGGCATGGGGTTTCGCCGGTGCACATCTTCGAGTTCCTCACCTCCATCGACCGGTCGACCAATGGCGTTGGAACCATCACCACGTTGAACTTCCTGATTGCCAAGTTTGGCAATGAGCTGCGCGAGGCCCTCGAGCAGCACCCCGAGCTGGATGTCACCCATGATCAGATTATGTTCCGCAGCAGCGCCCAGCGTTCCTTCATCCCGTACCGGAGCCTGCGCGAGGCCATCGATGTCACCATCAAGTCGCTGACCGACTTGGAGGGGGCCATGAATGACCCGGCCCTGGACCCGCCACGCAAGTACCATGTGTGGCGCCGGCAGCTGGCCATTCTCAACTACTTCTACAACAGCAATTCCCCGGTGGTGGATGAGTCTCTCGTTGAGAACCTCAAGCGCATGGACCTGGAGGGTGGTGGTGCCACGCGGGTTGCCTCCGGTGGCGGGTCGGCCTTCAACACCTCGTCGTCGGCCTCGATCCCGGTATCGGCGGCAGGCGGTGCTGCTGCCGTCGGCAGCGGGGTCACCTCCTCGCTGACCAGCAACTTCCTCCTGGATCCGAAGAATGCCCCCGGGCCGAAGCTCCAGCGCCCGGCCGATTCGCGTCCGCAGGTGGCCGTGCATCATCGCATCGCTGAGGATGCCCTACAGGCGTACCTGGACACGGAGGAGTTCCTGGCGAAGAATCCCCTGCGGGTGGTCCGGTCTACCCCCTCGACCACGGGGCTGGTGGCCTTCCTGCGGAGCCGTTCCAACTCGACGGTGTTCACTGACGACGATTCGGCGGTCATCAGCGATCTTTGCAACATGCTGATGCGCTGCAGCAGCACTCTACGGCGGATTCTGGCCAATCAGTCGGAGGAGCGTGCCAACAGTGGCTCCGGCTCGTTTGTGGGCATCAACCCGCTGTTTGACTCGTTCTTCGAGACGCCGTCCGACTCGGGCGAAGGCGACGGCCTCTCCGCGGGCGCCGGCATGTCCCGCCGTCGCGACTCCCACGATTCCATCGACCACGGTGGCATGTCGGCGCATGAGGAGGACATGATCGACATCGACATGTCTTTCGATGACCATGATGGCGTCAACCCGGCAAATTCTTCCTCCGTCTTCCAGCCTTCCAAGTAAGGGTGTTCAGCGGGGTGGTCCCTCCCTCCTCCTCCTCCTCCTCCTCCTCCTCTCTCTCTCCCTCTCTCTCGCGCCTCTTGGGACGGTGCGGTTTCGACGCCGGAGCCATGGATAGAGCTCTCCGCCACCCGCCTCATGCGCGTGCGCGCGCGCGCGCGCGCACGGCCGACGCACATCTCTCCCCTTAGACCCGCTCTCTTCCTCCCCCACCCCGCCTGGGGTGACTCCCTGTCCACCTTGTCTTCCCTCCTTCCCTCCACCTTCTGCTGCTCCCGGCTTGGCGTCTGTCTATCTTCGCAACTCCTCGGACCCGCGGGAGCGGTCGGGGGCAGATGTATTTGCCCCCCCCCCCTCTCTCCCCCTGCCTTCTTGTTTCTGCGTGACCGTACACCTCCTCACCTTTCAAGCCCGGAGGCCTGCCCCAGCACTGGGGGCATGATTTCGGGGCCTCTGTGTGTGTGTGTATGTGTGTATGTGTATATGTGTGCTTGTGATCCGCACGCGCGCGCGCACGCTCTCTCTCTCTCTCTCTCTCTCTCTCTCTCTCTCTCTCTCCCTCCCCTCCTCCCTATTCCTCTCGCCCATTCAACATAGATCCAAAATATACGACATATTTGAGATGTTGGGAGTTTCTTTCTTTCTTTTTTTTCTCCATATCAAGGGCGTGTGCCTCTCGCCCTTGGGCTTCCTCTCTCTTCTCCCCACCAGCAAGGCCGTGTGGTCGAGAGGGAAGGAGGGCAGTCGAGCACGGAGGAGCGAGGACAGGTGTTGCATGCACTAAACAAAGACCACCTGCCGAGTCATCTCCACCACCATGGGCGTCGACAGGAAGGCGGAGAAGACGTATGCCAGGATGCCGAGGCCGATGGAGATGGGCAAGGCAGGGAGCGGCTTCCGGAAGAGGGCCAGCAGCGAAAGGGTGAGGCCCAAGCCAACCAGAGTGGACAGGACGCAGGAGATGACCGCGATGGCGGCCGATGCGCCGCCATCGCTGCCATCGGACGTCAGCGCGCCACGGGCCACAAGCAGCGAGTAGAAGATATAGTCACCGAGGCCCAGCTGGACCGGCCCCCGGCCGGGGGGCTCATCCCCATCTTCGCCGTCGTCGTCGTCGCCGTCGTCCTGTTCGTCGGAAACATCCTTCGGGCCAGTCTCAGCATCCAGGATCGGGTTGCCGGTGGTCGAGTCGATGGCCGGGACCGCGGCAGAATCGAGGTCCGAAGCAGCCGACGGCATGGCCTCGCCAAGGAGCACCGACTCCAGGTGGCCACTGCTGAGCAGGGCTTGGCCAACCTGGGTGTCGGCATCCTCCGGCTGCTCATCACCACTGTCATCGCTGGTGCCAGCGGTAAAGGCCAGGATTGGCACACTGTCATCATTTGAGGATGCGAGACGAGCCATGCCGGCTGCCATTCGCCCAGGGGACAGGTCGGAGTAGGTGGGGTCAGTCGACAGGGGGCAGCCGGCGCCAGGAGAAGCAGGGGGGGGGGGGGAGGAGGAGAAGCAGGAGCGAGTGGCCAAGAGGGCCATTGGCAGGGGGCAGGGGGCATGCATACCACTGTACAGCAGGGCGGGGATGCTCTGCTGGCGGGTTTGGGACAGGTTGATCAAGAGGTTGAGCGGGCCCTGGGGGCAGAGCACCGCAAAGAGGTCATAGATGGACACGACAATCAGCACAGCCCAGGCAGTCCAGGAGGGCAGTCCCGAAAGGTTGGTAGCCACCAGTGCCGACACAATGACCAGATACACCTGCTGCATTCGCAGGGTCAGCTTGCCGAAGACGGCCAGCAAGCCGACGACGGAGAAGTTGAACAGCAGGAAGCAGAAGGTAACCCAGTCGACTGGGAGATTGTAAGTCTCAAGAAGGCGGCTATACAGGTGGGTTAGTGCCAGGGGGCGTTTGGGCGATGTGGCTTGGTAAGTCGGCGGCCATGCGTGTATGTATGTATGTGTGTGTGCGTATGTGCGTGTGTGTGTGTGTGTGTGTGTGCGTGTGTGACGGCCCTCGCATGCGCATGCACGCGCGCGCTCAAAAAAGCGAGCCATCGACGTACTAGAAAACAATACCGCCGATGAAGGAGAGGATGAGGCCCGTGGCGACGATCAACCAGCCATAGATGACCCGGATGTAGCCATAGTAGAAGAGGGCCAGCAGGATGACCGTGTTGACCAGGATGATGACTAGAAGGATGGCAGCACTGGCGACAGCCACCAGCAGCTGTGACCCAGTGGAGAGGGTATTTGTCCCGGTGGAAAGGACGACACCACTATGCAGACGGAAGGGCGGGTGACGAGCAGCCGGCGGGGGTGGGGTGGGATGGAGCGGGGGAGATGGCAGGAGGACCGCCCGTACAGGGAGAGGTGAGGATCACCGAGCGTCAAGCATGGCGGGGATGCAGGTACAGGAGGAGCGGACGCACGTATAGTTGAAGGGCACGCTGAGGAAGATGGTGGGCGCCCACCAGATGACAAGGAAAAAGGTGGCGAAGAGCGAAGCAAACAGACCATAGATCTGTGGCAGGTAGAACTGGGCTGCCACCCGCGGAGTCATGGCAAGGTCATCGTCGTCATCGTCATCATCATCATCGTCATCATCATCCCCGTCGGCGCCAAGATCCTCGGGCCTGGCATCGAGACGGCCATCGTCGAAGGCGCCCGCGCCATCATCGTGGGCCTCATGGGTGACAAGGCCTTCCCCCAGGAGATCGGCCTCCTGCCCGGTGGGCCCGCGCCCGGAGAAGAAGGGGTCCACAAGAGCTGGACTGTGGCGAGGGGGACATGGTGAGGTGGTGGCACGTTGGCAGGGGGCCGGGGCCGGGGCAGGGGCCGGGGCAGGGGAAACGTCGGTGGCGGCATCGGTGAGAGGCGTACGGCGGGGTGCCGGGGGTCTGAGGCATGCTGGTGGGGTGTGCCGGGGGAGCAGACTGAGCCGGCATGGCGGACTGCTCCGTCCCAGGGGCCACGGGTGGCTGGGCCTGGGTGAAGGTATCGGCCATCAAAGGCGCGGCCCGGAAGAGGCTTGACGCCATCCTCGCCGGTGATGCACACGGACACGCAGCGGTGAGCTTGTGGATCTCCTGAGCCGGACCCTCTTGTGGAATCTGCGTTGGGCGAGGGGGGAGGGGGGGGGGGGGGCGTCTGGATGTATAGATATGTGTGTATAAATGTATGTGTGTGTGTGTGTGTGTGTGTCGTAGACAGTCGAGAGAGCACTGCGAAGAGGCGGGAGGGAGAGGGGACGAGGAGGGGTGGATTGCAAGAAAAAGCCCCCCCCTGCAACAACGGCTGCTCATCTCCCCAAAAAAGAAGAAGAGAACCCGCGCTCCTGCCCATCCTGAGCTCCTACCTGCGCGTGTCCAACAAAGGCATCCGCCCCTCCTCGAGGACGTCCAGCCTGCACCACCAGCGAGCCGAGCTGACAATCCTGGCTTTCAGCTCCAGGAAGGGGGGGGGGGAGGCGGACCGGCGGCTGTTCATCATGTTCGAGGTGATCGATATTTATTCGCGTCCGGGGGTGATCCCCCCAACCGGCGGGATTACCCTGCGCACCAATCGCTGGAGGTCTTTTTTGGGCCCGGGGGTGTGCGGCCATGCCGGGGGGAGGGGGGGGGGGAGGGGGCGTCCTAGCTTGCTGCCAGGGAAGCACCATAATGCATGTTGTGTATTGTGTGTTGTGTGTCGTGTGCAGGGGGGGCCCATTAGCACATATTCTTCCCCCCAGCGGCATGGTCAGGAGGCGGGTCTCGGGCAGTTTTGCAGGAAAGATCACGCCAAGGGGGGAGCTGACAGAATGGAAGGATGATCACATGCAACCCGGCGCCCCGCATGCCTGAGACCCCTCGATGCTTCACCCACAATTTAGGCCCACCCTTGGCCCTCCATCACGCTCGGTGCGTGGTGTGGCGTGGCTATGTATAGCACGAAGGCGAGGCGGGGAAAGTGCACCGGCATACATAGGATGGGCGTTGTATCTGCCGATGGCCTGGAGCCAACCGAGCAGCGGCTCCCCCCTCCCCCCGATGTGTCGGGTCCCATGTTGGAGTGGGCCTTCCCCCAGCACCCCCGAGGCCCCCAAGGCCCTGGAGTTCTGACACCCGTGGCTGGGGGCGATGTGGACCATTGTTGGGGCCGTGCTTGTGGTTGCCCTGCCCCAAGGGGCTGGGCCCTTTGAGGCGCACGCAGGTGTGGTTGTAAATGCCATGGGCCCACGTCCAGAGGGGGGATCGTGGTCTCCCCTCGGGCGGACGGGAGAGCGGTGGCACAGGGGCACATGTGGCACATAGCATGATCGGCGAATGTGTGCCCGAGCCCGGGGCATGGGAGGTCTGCCGGGCGGACCGTGGACCTGACTGCCGGCCCGGCCGCCGACGCGGCCGATGACCTGACCATCGTCATGTCGCGGCCACCGGGCGCCAGAGCATGATGCCCGGCCAGGGTGCAGCAAGCAAATCTTAACACACCCGGCGCCGACGAGAGTCCCCTCAGACAGGCCGGAGTAGCCAGCCTCTCAGGGACATCGACCGGCGCTGGGCCTGGGTGTTCAGCAAGATTGGCCCGGAGGGTGTTTTGACTGCCCATATGCGCATGCATGCATGCCTGAGTGGGGGGTGGGGGGGGTGGTGGAGAAGCCTTGGAGCTTCCGAGGGGGGCGGCCTCCTTGTGTGCCGGCGTCCTGCGACCCCCTTCCATGCATCCCCAAGCCCGAGGCGGAGGAGGGCGGCCGGCAGGTGGTTCCTCGGCGAGGGCACCGGCAGCGGGTCGGGCGTTTCTTCCCGCAGGCCCTTCCTCCGGTCTCGTCCTCCCCTGCCCGGTTCCTGCGTGGGGGCTGCCCCTTGGTTCGGTCAGGCTGGAGGCCTGCTTTTCCCAACTCATAGGATCACCCCCCCCCCCCCCCCCCCCCCCCCCCCCCCCCCCTGCCGTTCTGGATGAGCATGCGTCATACGTCGGCGATCAGCATGCCTTGATCGTCAAGTGCCAAGCTGCGCACATGCTCGGCCCTCGGGCGTCGGGACTTCTCTGCCCGAATCACCGGCAGCAGCACCTCCATGCGTGGTCTAGGCGCGCATGGGTGTCGGGCCCCAGGCTGACAACGCCGCAGGCCCCGGCAGGCCAGTAGTCCAGGGCACGCGCGTCTTCTCCCCGCGCCCAGGGGCACGAGGGTGACGGGAGCTTGTCCTCTTTGGTTGGTCGCCGGCCGAAAGCCTGCACCCTTCCCTGCCCCCCCCCCCCCCCCCCCCCCCCACCCCGGCCGATGCCAGCAGGCCTGGCCGCCGCATGTGGGCGTTGATAGCCTCGCGCGTGCTTCGCATCACCCATGCTCAGCGTGGGTAGTAGACATGATCGCCGGGCCAAATTTCCGCCCGTTGGTCCGGGGCTCAGGCGGGGAGTAGCCCGGGCGGGCGCCAGGCTACATGGCCTGGCCGGCTCAATGCTGACACGCCTCCAGCTGGCGACGAGCCAAATAGTCGGATCGGCCCATGCCTGGCTCCGCCCGAGCCTCCCGCCCGGGGTGGCTTCGGGTCCCTCAAGTGGGGTCAGCCGGCAGATCGGGAGCATGTCCCCCGGCCGGATGTGACACCACTCTTGCTTATGCCAATCCGAGCAGCCTGACGGAAAACGCGAGGCCAGGGGCTGCGCGCCCCCCCCCCCCCCCCTCCCTCCCCCCCCGGTCCCGGCCTTCAAGAACGACGACCAGGCGCCTCGGGTCGAGTGGTGAGCGCCACGACTACTCCATGTGAGTCCCCATCTCGAAGCCGGCTCTCCAGACACCTGCGCGGTGCATGCACCGTCGCTTGGGAGGCTCCAGCGCCGTGGTCCTCTCCACCCCCCCCCCCGCCCCTGGGTGGCCTCCTACGTGTCCGCGATTGCTGGGCTGACTGAGATCTCCGAGGATGCTCGGCATCGCTCGCGTGCCGGAGCACAAGTGGGCTGAAAGGGTGCCCAGGATGAGTCACCCGGATCTCGATCAGCCGGGTGTGCCCTTTTGGGTGCCCTGCCCCGTGGCGAGGATGCCAGCCTCCGGGCATAATTGACCGGCGCTTAGCCCCCGGGTGCCGAAAAGGCCGATGGAGGCTCGAAGCTCCTTGGCAGTGTGTGCCACGGGGCGGGAAAATCTGCCCCCCTCCTGCCGGGGGCTGGGCCCACAATTACAGGACGGCCAACAGCGCGCGCGACTGGGCATCCTGGGAGGACTCTTCGGCGCATCCCAAACATGCGCTCGTGCTCCCTCTCCCTCCCTCCCGCGCCTCCCCGCCTATCTCACTCTCTTTCTCCGGAGCTCACACATGCACACGGGAGCCCAACTCCTTCCGCCCAAGGAGTGGGTCGGCAAAAGCGCGTGGCCCGGGCCACGAGGTGTGTGTGTGTGTGTGTGTATGTGGGACGGGGGAGCGCGGAGGCTGTTGTTCTCTCGTGCATTCGTCCTACCACCTCCTCCGTCGCGCCTCTCCGGCCCTGCCACCCTCTGTTCGGAAGTCTGCCTTTTGAAACAGCCATGCCCATTACTGATTGACACTTAGTCATGTGGTCTCGCATCGGCCAGGCTGATTGCTGGACGATGGGACGGTGGCGCGCGCCACCCGGAGAGTGCCCCACCCGCAGAGGCCAGGGCGAGGTGGCCAGGAAATTCCGGAGGCATGCGACATCATCGACAAAACTCGAGAGCGATCATCTCGGCCCCGGGCTGGCTGGCGTCCCGGTCAGCTCTACGGCCGCCATGCTGTCCCTTGCTTGGCCCACCTCACACAGAGGCGGTGGGGGACGCGCATCCCACGACCGGGGGTGCAAAGGAGCTCGAATACACGGGCAACCTGCGAGACCCGGGGGCCCTCTCTGTGGTGTGCGGTTTTTTTTTCTCTTTTGTTCGCTCAAGCGGGCAGCAGGAGGAAACGCCCAAAGGGGGGGCGGGGGGCGGGGAGGAGGGAGAAACAAGGCGCCAGTCCGCGATCGCACCCGAAGGAGGCTGATGCCGGCCGCGGGGCCCCTCTTGTGGTTAAGCCCGCCGAGTGGCGATGGGCCGTGCCAGCCAGCGACCGCGTTCGAGCGCCCTGCAAGGTTATGGGCGGTGCTGCCGAGGAACGCCGCATCTGGATGCATGGTGCTCTAGACAAGAGTTTTGCCTACAGGTACCAGGCCTACAATCAGTCTGTGGACAGGAAAGCCACAGACAGGCACACACTTCCCGCGAGGCTTCAGCGCGGC